TAAATAAAGCTGAAAAACTGAAGAGCAAAATAAACTGATGGGCATATTTGGGACTCTCAATGACTATTGCCCAGTTGGGGTGGGTTTGACCCACTGATAGAAGTTTAACTTGAAACTCAAGATGTGTCTCGCCCTAGGGGTTGCAGGTAAGAATAGAGTAGCCTAAGGCCAAATATGCAGAGAGGCAGGCCTCCTAGAGGAGACGGTAAATCCTGACCTGGTGGTCCAGATTGTAGTAGAGGAAACAAATACTTGGGATGGCCTTTTGTTTTCAGGTTCCCTTGTGTGTTTTATCTCCTCATGTTGTCATTAGACACAGATCTTCTGTCTTCATGGTTAGCAGCAGGTACTGGTTTTCAAATGCAGTCTTACATGGCACCCTAATATGTGAAATAGATAAAAGCAAGATGGGGAGATGGGGGGAGGACAGGTCGTCCTGGTCCCCTGTCCCCTCGACTTTCTCCACAGGGGCTCCTGAGATGGTTTTGCAGGCCGAAACCAATTTGGAAACCAGTCTTCGGGGTGAAGATTTTATGCAAACTTGAAAAACTCATTAGCTTGCCACCAGTGACAACTTACAAAGAGCAGATTTGCCCACAGTTTTGCTATCTGTAGCAAAGTTTTCAATTCATTATGATGAACACATTGCAGTGAAACTGAGGAACGGAAAGGAAAGAAACCCACTCAGCCACTATAATGCTGGGTGTTCTTGCCTAAGCTGTTAATCTTTTCCTGCTTTATGATTTTCTGTGAAAGATCTGATGTCAGAATACAGCTTAGTTTTATTTCATAATATACTCGACCCTCAAATAACACAGGGGTTAGAGGCACTGACCCCCCGTGCAGTTGAAAATCTGTCTATAACTTCAGACTCCCCCTCCCCAGACTCAGCTATTAATAGCCTCCTGTTGACCAGAAGCTTTACCAATAACACAGTCAATTAACACATATTTTGTTTGTTATATGTATTATCTATTGCTTTCTTACAGTAAAGCAAGCTAGAGAAAATAAAATGTTATTAAGGAAATCCTAAGGAAGAGAAAATATATTTAATAGTGCTCTACTGAAAAAAAGTCCACATGTAAGTGAACCCGTGTGGGGCCAGGGTCAACCATGTAGCCATTGCTTATAAAACATGTCTCTTCTGTACATCCTAGTTAATGGTTGGACTAGTCTGGAGTTATGTAAAAATACCAAAGATGGTTTCGACCTGTTGTGGATGTTTCAGGCTCGGGGTGTCTGTGTAGTAACAAAAACAGCTCCACGCGTGCATGACTCCCTTGCTCTTTCCCCCTAGACCTTTCCAGAAGTGTGCCTCACTGGCCTCTCTTTTTACTGAACTCGATAGCATTTAATGGTCACATACAACCCTGTGACATTTCTTCTGTTGCTCTTCCGGTGATGTTGAACTTTTCCCGTATTTGCATTGTCTCACTGTCTAGACTTTAAACTCCTTGAGAACAAGAGACAATAGTTTTAAGTTGTTTGTTCTCCTTGCATACCGTACGCCGTCAGTAGATAGTTGCTTTGACTTTCGTCTTGGCAGTCTTAACACGTACATTTTATAATCTTTGTTGTTGCCCCAAACTGGATTTGTCAACTTGCTTCGTGTGCTGTGATCAACTTGTTACGGACTGGGTGTTAGGTAATCAGCAAGCCGGCTGAATTTTAAACATAATTTCTTCTTTCTGGTGTTCTGATCCACGGAAACATAGTATACTGATACTCCTCACATCATGGCATATGAGAATGTAGTATGTGGCATCTTGAAGGTACTTTAAATTGTATGTCTTTGAGTTCTATACTGAAAAATAAAACTACTGCAAACAATTTGACCTGCTTTCCTGCCCTCAAATTATTTAGTCTTGTAAATAGTGTTTTGTTGTACGTATTTGAAAATTAGAATTAGTTTTTTTAATATCATAAAACATTTAAATGTCAGCCGTCCCTTAAAAGTGTACAATTCTTCCCGGAGTAAATACTACAACTAATTAAATACAAGTCAGATAGTATCATTTCTAATATCAGATATGTTCACTAACTTGATTTTCATTGTACGTTCCATGTGGAAAGTTTAAGGTACTTTCCCATATCTCAACCTTGCGGTATTTTGGTGAGAAGTCTTATCAGTTCAGTAGACTGACTACACAGTCCCTCTGTGGAGATGCTGGGTGTTATCCCTACGTTCTCGGAGGAGACTGTTTGCACAGAGCCAGTTTCTGGCAAGTGAGGAGTCCTCTGCCTTGTCTTTTTGGAAAGTTTACTGTCTATTCAGTATTGAGTACTAATAAAAAATAGTTGTTAGGCAAGTAATAGATGGGCTTCAGATTGCTTTCCCTTCTCTCATTTTGTCCCTACAAGAAACCAGGGCAGATATTATTCCTACTTATGAAATAGAGTCCTGGGATATTAAGATACTTATATGCCCAAGGTTGTATTAATTACCATGTAGAGCTGATAAATACAATCAGTCCATCTGCAGTCTTCAGCCCAGTATTGTTTTCCATTAGATCTACTGAGTTGTACATACTAAATTGCACCCCAGTGTGAAGTCCTGTATCAATAAACAGAAATGAAGTTGCATCAAGTTGAGTCCACTGGTCAAAGTTCTGGTACTATTTTAAAGGGAAGTATGTATTGAGTGGGATTTTTTCAGAGCCCTAGAAACTAAGGAACCAACTTCCTTTGTGTCATTGGTTCTCAACCAGGGACCATTTTGTTCCCCTAGGAGTCATTTGGCAATATTTGGAGATACTTTTGGTCGGCAGAACTGGGATGTATGGGCTCCTAGCATCTGGTGGGTAGAGGCCAGAGATGCTGCTATACATCCTGTAATGCATAGAACGACCCCACTTAACAATTATGTAGTCCAAAATGTCTGTGGTGTTGAGGTGAATAACCCCTGCTATTGTATATTGCAAAGAATGGATTACCAGAGGCCCTTGTTGCCAGACCAATTGGAGTCCAAGGCAGGGAGGGAGCGGGTTGGGGAAGGAGGTGATTTCAAGTATGGCTGGACTGAGAGAGCTATTTTGATGAAGTTAGGCTTTAGTTAATTTCCCGTCCCTTGCCTGTTCTTTATGCCAACACTTGGCATAGCAACAGGGGAGAAAGCTGAAGAATATTTCTCTTCTAAGCTACTTGGGAGTCAGTGGTCCCATTCCAAGAGCTAAAGATGTCAGTCCGCTTCCCTGTGACACTTTGCAGCTTCACTGTGAACCAGTCGTGCATGCTGTCCAGGTCCTGAGATGCCTAGATACATGACTTTGTTTTTTGGCAGGATTGTAAGAATTATAAACTAGCTTATTTATTTCTCAAGGTATCTTGTAATCATAGTTCACCTGGGATCATATGAGTTTCTCACTGTTTCTATATCATGTGGCAAATGTGAGTTTCTTTGGCCAACAGAGAATTGACCCTTAAACAACTTGGGGTTAGGGGCACCAACCCCCTGCATGGTTAAAAATCCACGTGTAACTTTTGACTCCCCAAAACTTTACTAATAGCCTGCTGTTTACCAGGATGCTTTACCAATAACATAAACAGACAACACATATTTTGTATGTTATATGTATTATATACCGTATTCTTATAATAAACTAAGCTAAAGAAAATGTTATTAAGAAAATCCTAAGGAAAAGAAGAATACATTTATAGGACTGTACTGTATTTATCCGAAAAAAGAATTGCGTGTAAGTGGACCCATGCAGCTCAAATCTGTGTTGTTCAAGGGTCCGTTGTACTCTTGCCTGATTTCATTAGTCTAAAATCAGGGAAACATGTTTTTTTAAAGTAGACTTTATTTTTTGGAGTATTTTAAGTTTACAGCAAAACTGAATGGAAAATGCAAAGTTCCTGCGGGTCCCCTGCCCGTGAACAAATGTCTTTTGACTGGATTGCAATACTAATTTTCAAATAAACTTTATATAAATGCAAATATTATTCTGTTAATGCCAAGTTAGGGGTTCCTTGGTTCCACTTCTCACCAAATGTAAAGCAAAAGTAAGGAGAAAAACGGTATTAACTGAGTCATGGGTATTTTCTTTTTCTCTATTCAGTGGAAAAGAGGGTCTCAAATCATCTCTACAGTCTTCTTAATTGACTTTAGCTACCTAGGTCAAGAGCATTAGTCTTCCTCGGAATTTTTCCACGTGGTTATACATCATCTTTTTATATCAGGGGGATTTTATTTCCCTCCTAGGAAGCTTTCCTTGTTTAGAGTTCCGTTTCTGGTTAATTGAAAACCATTTTAAGTTATTCCGTCTGACGATTTGATCGCTTTAAAGGTTAGAATGTGCCATAGTCAGCAAACCTTCCTGTACTGGAGAGTATTTTAGAACTTTGTTACTTTGTTACTGTGAATTGCCTCATGCAGTTGGGAGTCAGGGTGAAAAATGACTATTGCATTGTTGATTAGAAATCCCTCCCACCCCCAGCCTAGCTGCAAAGTCTACTCTGTTTATTCAGCCAAAATATTTCTCTATCCTGCTACTCATGGCCAGTGGATATACTATAATGTTGCTGTGTTTCAATTGTGCCTTTTTTAAGTCATGGGTCTTATAGATCCATTAAAAAAGGCAATTAATAGTCTATACGGTGTAGATCAAGAGAGAGAGAGAGAGCTTGGCGTTATTAAGAAAAAACAACTCGGGGTCTGGGTTCAAGTCTTTATTAGTTATGTGCCGTTGAGCAAATTATTCTGGAGTGTGTTCATCTGTTAAATGGAGATTATTGTCCCCGTTCCGCCTACCTCACAACACGAGGGCCAAATGAAACAATAAATAAGTGTGAGAGAGCCTTGTAAATTGTACAGCTCGGTGCACGTGTAAAGATGCAAACAGGAGGCGCCTTAGGAAACTGCCTTGATTGTGAAATGAAAGTAGGTTTGAAGAATTTCTTTTCCCTTGTCTTGACTTGTCTGAATGGCATAAATTGCCTTTTCTTCATCTTAGTAATTCAGGGATGACTTTTGTTGGGTTTGGTTGTAGTTTGTTTGTTTGTTTTCTTTGTATGGATAAGGCCAGTAGGGTTAAATGCTTCACTTGCTGAAACATGATACATAGAACAGTAAATTGGTGCAAAGCAGAATTATAAAAAGACAATTCTACATTCACCAAATAGCACAGACCACCTGCTAGAATACCATCATCATCAGTGGTGATTGCTTACCAATTCTCTGCTCTTCTCAAAAACCTCGGTTGGTAGTTTGACCTACATTCCTGTTTTCAATAAAACCATTACTCTACCACCGACGCTTCACCCATTCCCCTCCAACCGATGAGTTACCGTATGTGGATTCTGGATGGTGGTAGATCAAGTTTAGTTACGACTTACCAAAGCCTTTTTACATTGATGTGTCTTGTCAGGGATGACACTATTTCATAAGTAGAACCAGAGAACTAACTGTAGGACTCCAGGACTTGAGTTTTAAATGATCGGTAGAACTGTTGGAATAGGGCAGGCAGGCTGCGCTGGAAATTATTCCATCTGAAAGGTAGCTTAGCCCCTGCCTACTCGGCCTTTATGACTAATGGAAAAATGCTCTTTTCAAATTCAAAAGCCTATTCATTACTGCCTTTCTCCTCTGAAATGCATTACCAGTTTTATCATCAGGAAGAACTTAATTATTTTTCCTTTTCTATTGGCTTATGTTTATTCTTCATAAAATGACTTCTCTTCCACTTAACGGGCTCAGAAATAAGCTCCTATATTGAACTTTGCAGGCTTGATAGCATAAATCAACTCAGCTGGCCAAATGCCTCACTACCTGAAACTTCATAACGTGGCTGAAACTAAATTGTGCTCTGGAGCATTGAGTCTTTAAACCGGCTTAGTGATTTACAAACACAAAATGGTGAAGAGCCTCTAAGAAGGACAAGACGCTCCCTCTCCTGATCCTTGAGCAAGTTCTTCCTCACTTATTTCAGGGGCTCTGAGCTCACGAGAGAAATCCTAACCCAAGTTTATCTTGCTAGGAAAACCCATCTTAAATGCTCAGTAAAGAAAGAATAATTCTTCTCCCGCTTAACCACGAAAGAACAACATCTGTTTCTAACGTCAGCTTTTTATTTTTTTTTTTTTATCTTTCATTTTTTTGTTGGTAAATCTCCCAGACAACAGCAGTTCTGTAGAGAGTTTAAATATGAAGGAATGGCAGGACGGGCTAAGGGCACTTCTACCCAACATTAACATCAACTTTGGTGGACTGCCCAATTCTTCCTCCCCCTCCAACGCCAACCACACTGCACCACCGTCCAACCCCGCCACCACCGACAGCCTGAGTTGGGACAGCCCTGGCAGCTGGACAGACCCAGCCATCATCACAGGTAACTTTCTCGCTCCTTCGGCTCCACTGACTGCCATCCATTTGGTTTTTAGCACAGATTAAACGCAGACAGAGGTCTCTTCAACATCGGCTTCTTTCCACAAAGCCACACGCGTGGGGTGGCCCGTGTCGTTCTCTGGGGTCCTGCAGTCTCGGTTAGCTGTGTTGGCCTTGTTGTATCAGAAGGCATTTGGTGCCTCGGTTGCTTCTCTGGGTGTAAGGAGGTGCTAACGTCTGGCAGCACGTGCGCATGTTTCAAGTCTCAAAGAACAAAAGTGTCTGACTTACCCTTTTAAAGGAACATACTCCACTTTTGAAAATAAAGCTCTCTATTATAAGGCTATCTTGTTTACGTACCCCTGTTAGAGAAGGCGAAGCGCGATTGGGAGATGATGGCGTACAATTCTGGGGGCTACTTTCCGCAGCTCTGCCTCTGTGACAGTGGGGGACGATGTCTATGCCGCTGAAGAAGAGGCATGGGTTTCTCTAGCAATGAATCATGGTCCTTGTGGGCGGAGGATTCAAAAGAACATAAGATTAAAAAGGTCTCCTCTGGAAGGAGTTTAAGATTTGTAAGTTTTGTTTCTTTTTGGATAAACTAATCACCTGAGACATTTTTTGTTTGTTTGTTTGTTTGTTCGATGGGTTTCTTACTCTTGTTTCACAAACTCACCATTTCCCCCCTTGTTTTTCTGTTCTCTCCTTAGGTATTCCAGCAACTTCAGGAAACAGTTTAGACTCTCTTCAAGATGACAATCCTCCACACTGGCTAAAATCCCTTCAGGCCCTCACAGAGATGGACGGCCCCAGTGCTGCTCCATCGCAGACCCACCACAGCGCCCCCTTCAGCACACAGATCCCTCTGCACAGAGCCAGTTGGAACCCCTACCCTCCTCCTTCAAACCCTTCCAGCTTCCACTCCCCACCCCCAGGCTTTCAGACAGCCTTCAGACCCCCCAGCAAAACCCCCACAGATTTACTACAGAGTTCAACACTGGACCGCCATTAGGGAAAAAGGAGAAACCATTAGAAAACGCAGGATTTGTCCCGCCCGGTTTTCTCCCTCTCGGCCCACACCCACAGCGCCCTTCTCATTCTTACGTTCTGAAGAATCCAGTTCCCGATCAACTTTTTTTTTCTCCTCACCCCCAGATGCAATGCGATCACAGGGTCATTACCATCTCTTTTTTTTTAATTGTAAAAGTTTCTGTTGATCCAGCATTTGAGTGACACTGTTGAATGTTTCCTAAAAATGCCTTTTTAAGGAGGGACAAAAAAAAAAGAAATCAAAGGGCAGTCTCAATACTTAGAAAATTACTGTTTGTCTGTTGCGCATAATAATGACATAATCTGCTTAGCAGAAAATGACGATTAATCTTTAGGAAAGGTCAAGTAAATGCATTATCAACTGCAAAAGTTTTGAAAACCAGGTTCATTGAAATGAGATTGCTAAGTGCATGGGGGAAAGCAGTGGTCCTGACATCCATCTTGTATTCAGCTTATCACTATTGCAGGGAAAATGCTTTTAATTTAATTTAATTTTTAATTCTTCCGGCAAGTTGATGGAGAGGACTTGATTGTGTCGTTAAGCAAAAGAATTTATTGGAAGTTGATGGAAAGACAAATTGATCTGTAGCAGTAACTGGCCTATTGCTAAAGAGTTGATAAGGAGGGGAGAAGTGATTTTTTTTTTTTTTAAAGGAGAAAAAAATTTTTGGCTTTAGATTTAAAGTAAATTCAAATGTTTTAAAGAAAAAAAGTATTCACAGATTTAATACCTATGCATAACATAAGAGCTGAAATATAAGTGATTTCTTCGGTCTTTCTCCTCTGTCAGAATCTTTTTTTCTTTTCCCTTAAAATTCGCCTGACTGGGGCACTCTGAGATAGCACTGCTCTGGGGCCATCTGATCACCATCAGGAGCAAATCTCTGACCTCCTTGCCTGCAGCTTTTACTTAACCCTGTAGTTTCTGGACGTTTGTGCAGTATTGAAAAGACAGGAGAAAAGAAAACAGAAACCTGGTTATAACCTGACGCTAAAACTAAAAACAAGGAAATGTACCTCTTTCTTCAGAATTAAAACTAAAATCTTAAATAAAACAAAACTTGATGATGACCCTTGGGTTGTTCTTGTTTTTGTTTTTCCATTTCCTTACACGTGAGCTTGAGACATTTTGCGATAGCAGTCGTCAGATGTTTTTGTTGCTCTCCCGTCGTCAATAATAGGAAAAATGGTACAGAAGAAGAAATCAGAAAAAGAATTCATCTTACCGTCGGTCTTTGCCATCTTTGAACATCAGCCCGTCTTGTCCTCAAGACTTCCTCTCCCGGTGGCTTTCGGTAGAAGATAACTTCCCTGTTATCTATTGTACTTCCCTGCTATTGTACTATGCAGGCCAGACCTCAACCGAGAAGACTCGTGAGCCAGGCAGGAGCAGATGGGCTGATGATGTGCCAAGACGTTGGTTGGCTTGAGAGGCCTGGAGGGAGGAAGAGCCATTGAGCTGTGCAAGTAGCATTTCTTTGTGTGAGCGCCATGATAGGAAAGAGATTGGGAGAACACTGATGTCGACATCCCACAGACACCTCTTCTGTGACCAACCCATTCCAGGGAATACCTAACAATGGGGAGAGGGTCACATCACTGACTAGCAGAGGGTGGGGGACAGAATGAAATGTTCCCTCCCAGGTTCTTAAGAATCTGCGTGGTTTGCATTTCCTGGCTTGGATTACATTGACAAGTCCAAAGATGGAGTTTGGGTATTTTCAGCACATGATTCATAAACGGAATCTTTGTCAAATGAATTAAGTAGGTCTTGTAAGTCATGCATTTCACATTGGTTTCTTTTTCTTGCCTATACTTTGTACTTCAATTTGCTACCAAAAACCTAAATAAATAAATAAATAAATAAATAAATAAATAAATACGTAAATAAGCAAAAAACACAAAAAGACACACACAAAAACAATTTCCACACAGTTTTTGAAAAATGAACAGGATAATTTCAAGTGTCACCACAAAAACAGATGTTGACCAGATGAGTAGCAAATTGGTTGGGTTTTTTTTTTGTTTTTGTTTTTTTGTTTTTTTGTTTTTTTTTTGAATCAAGATGTTACTCTATTAGAGGACTAGAAACTGCAGACTCTCTATGTCCTGTGAACTTTGCTTCGGTCTCCTGAGTGATAGACCAACACACGGATACTATTCAGGTAGCAGTGAATTGTGATCAAGGCTTTTGGGGGAGGAGGGCTTGGATATTCCTATTCCTGAGAGAGGGGTATATCAATACAAACGTTGCTTTTTCTGTAAAAGAAGAGACATTCTACCTTGCAATCTGCTGTGATTGATTGTATGTATGTTCAATGTATAGTCTTATACATAAGACTATAAAACTTATTTAAAGAGTGATAAATAAAAGCCTGTGTGCCTCCCACCCAAGTCAAACGTAAAACCAGCAATATCTTGAGGACTCCTCTGGCCCTCTCCAGTTATGCTTCCTTATCTTTTTTCACCATCCACAAGTAACTATTCTGTTGATTTTTGTGTTAATCTTTATTTTCTTTGGAGTCTTGCCACTGACGTATGTATCCCTGAAGAATACGTTGTTTGGTTTTAAGAGCTGAGTAGTAAACAAAATCTAGCTAGCTGTGTAAGAATAGGGCAGTACGGTCACTATTACATCAAGGCTTTAAGGAGAATAGATAAACTAAACATTCTCTGGGTCATAGTCTGGCTTTAGCTTCACTGATAACTTATAAAAGCCAGTTCTGGGGAAGACTGTGCAAGTTCACAAATGAATCCTGGAAAACAGGGTCCACTGTGGGCAAGGGGTCCGGCAGGGCTGTTTTGGGACTCCAGTCCTGGATGCCTGGCAGAGACATGGTCTGGAGTAGTCTGCTGTCTCTTTTCTGTGTCTAAGCTCACCATGGCTTCCCTTCAGTCCTCTGAAGGAGCCAAAGTGTAACCCGTGGGATGGGGTGTTTAACATAGGCTGATCAATTCACCCTCCAGGGCATGGTGGAGAGAGCAGAAATTTTATTAGGTTTGGTCAAAATCAGATAAGTACGAAAAAGAACCTGAACCAAACTGACTTAGGCAGTCTTTTGGTATAAGAGCAGTGGGAGTCTTGGTGTCACCAACCCTCAGGATGTCTCTCCTGGGTCAGATCTGGTGCACAGCTGCCGTTCCTGGCATTTCCTTTCACCGCTCTCCTTTTGTGCGTGTTTCCCCACCCCATATTCCTCCTATATGTTATATCCTAGTTTTGGGGTTTTTTTTGTTTTAATTCTCCAATTTTGTTGGAGTGACATTCTCCACTAACTTCTTGAGAAAGGTGTGTGGGAGATAAATAGTAGTAATTTGCGTACCTGGAAGGGAAATACTCTCAGTTGATAGTTTGATGGATATAGGATTCTAAATTATGATATTTTTTCTTTTAGAAATTTTTTTTTAATGTTAGAGAGAGAGAGCTCAAGCAGGCGAGGGGCAGAGAGAGAGAGGGAGACACAGAATCTGAAGCAGGCTCCGGGCTCTGAGCTGTCAGCACAGAGCCCAATGCGGGGCTTGAACCCATAAACTGTGAGATCATGACCTGCATTGAAATCTGATGCTTAACCAACTGAACTACACAGGCACCCGTGGAACTTTAAAGGCATTAATCTACTGTCTTGCTTCCAGTATTGCATATTGATCCTTTATGTGTAATCTTTTTTTGTCCCTCTCTGGGAACTTACAAAAACTATCTTTAGTGTTCTGGAATTTCTCAATGATGTTCCTTTGTATGACTCAATTTTAATTCATTGTGTTGCACGCAATTGGGTACACGGTAGATTTTTAAGACCTGGTGACTCCTGTCCTTCAGTTCTGGGAAATTTTCTTGACTTATTTCACTAGCAAATTTCTTGCTATTATTTTCTCTGTTCTCCCCTTTTAGAAATCCTGTCTTTCAAATATCAGACCTTCTGGATTTTCCTTTTGCTTTTCTTTTTTCCAATTTTCCATCTGTGTCTTTGCTCTTCTTTCTAGGAAGTTTTATTTTAGTGTTATTGTTTATATTTGTAGTTTTATTCTCTTTGGGTTGTTTCTGTTTCTCTAAGTTGGTTTTATCTGTTTGCTTTGATCTCTTTCATATTAAAGACTTCTCAGATCCTTGATCACCCACTTGTGAATAAGACCATAAAAAGCTGATAGAAAGGTTTGGAAGGATGAAGCTTTGCTAGCTTTGAACTTCACTATTGGAAGATGTAGATGGGCTCTGTGTTGGGGAACCCCTAGTGTCAATGTCTTTAGGCCTTTTCTTTGGGGCTGGTCTGTCCTGTAGAGAAGAATTGTAAGATGGCTGGCTTACAGGGTAAGGGTCTGGCTGCCAGAACTATACTGGTAGTCTCTGTATTCGTTATGCATCTATTTACTTAATCCCTGTCTTGAAGTCTTTCCTTTCTGGGGATTAAGTCTGCAGACATCTGC